TGCCACATTGAGATGATCCTTACTGAAAAGGAACAGATTGTTCCCAAACCAGAAGAAGAGGTAGCACAGAAGAAAAAAGTAAGTTGCTGCTTGGTTTTGTTTGTGTGTGGTGTTGGAGAAAGATTTGTGGTTGCTATGATGACTATCTTAGGACACCTTTGGATTAACCGTGAAAGGAAACTATTCTGAGCAACCTGACCCACCCAGATATACATAGCCATTTCAAACATGTCCTTTAAAGGGGACTTTTTCCCCTTCCCCCCAAATTTGATAAGCTTGTTTTCAGTAAATGATCACTTTGAGTGATTCTGTACTCTTCCCTTCTTACCAAATGAGTTTTTTTATATTTGTTTTTCCCCAGATATCCCAGAAGAAACTGAAGAAACAAAAACTTATGGCACGGGAGTAAATGCAACATAAAATAAATGCAAATAACTGTCAAAGGATATTGGTTGTCTTTATTAGCAAATCTGTATCAAGTAACTTCGCAAGGTGGATCAAATGGCTGCACACTATTTTTTTTTTTTGAGACAGAGCCTCAAGCTGTTGCCCTGAGTAGAGTGCTGTAGAATCACAGTTCACAGCAACCTCCAACTTAACTCCTGGGCTCAGGTGCCTCCACTGGGACTACAGGCGCCTGCCATGTGCCCGGCCATTTTTTGGTTGCAGCCCCTGTTTAGTGGGCCTGGGCTGGAGCCTCTGGCGCCAAGCCTCAAACACCTTTTTTTTAAAATAAAAAAAGAATTGAGTGGTCAGCATCTATGGCTCAAGGAGTAGGGCACTGGCCCCATATACTGGGGGTGGCAGGTTCAAGCCTGGTCCTGTCTAAAAATACTGCAAAAAGAAAAAAAAGACACAGATTACTATGTGCCATTTATAGAAATGTCCATTATCCCAAGAAGGAACTTTGCTTTTTTTTTTTTTTTTTGAGGCAGTAACTTAAAACTCCTAGGCTCAAGTAGTCCTTTTGTCTCAGCCGCCTCAGTAGCTGGGACTATATACACCTGCCACAACCCCTGCTAATTTTCAGAGATGGGGTCCTGCTTTTGCTCAGGTGGGTCTTGAAGTCCTGAGTCACACAGCTCACAGC